GGAATGTCAATGTCTTTTCAGTCTGCGGGTGACAATACCCATCAATGATCAAATTTCTGGAACAAAACTATTTCTTTCTTTGTTAGATTGACTGTTCTCTAACACTAGTAGTGCATCACCTATCTTGTTGGACAGGCAATGAATCTGCAGATTGCCTGTGAAGTTCTGTATTTTTCATCTCTATGAATTTATTATTATTTTACTATAAATTATTACCAGCTGCATATAATATTCAAATCTGCTCACACTTTTCTGTATCATAGTCTTAAACCAAGACATTTGTTTTTCCTTCTACCTCTGCACATTTATTTTGCAACTTACTTTCATCTCTTCAGTCTTTGTTAGTCTCTAATCCCTCATTTTCAAATTCATTTACTGAAGACACATAACAAGTAAGCTTTTCTCCATTAGTCACATAATTTCTCCAGAAAGTTTCTTGAACGTAAAGAATAAAATGTCATCTTAGATAACTACTTTGACAGTACTGTAGTCATGCATTTTAGTAGAAGACAGCCCATGGAGCCTCATCATGTATTGGTAAGGTGCTCTATACAATACCATGCTAGTTATAAGTCATTGTGTTGCTTACCGTGCAAGGAAATGTGGATTGAATCAGCTATGCCTACTATGTCCTGCCCCATCACCTTCTGCTTCAAGCCACTTCTGAGATTAACCTAGCTGTGGCAGTGACAACTGAATCAACTTTGGTCAAGGCTTTCAAAAAGGGTTCCTGAAATTATGGACTTAATACATTTAAATGGGGAAACTTTTAAGATACAGCTGCAAAAAAAATAGCTCACTTACTTAATTGTCTGAACGAGAACATAGACTGGGTTCTTCAGAGGAGTCTAAAATACCAGCTCAGCATCTAACTCTTTTGGGCTCTTCTGAGAAGGTAAACTTAAGATCCTACCTTTCAGCACCCATCTCTGATATTACAGGGAGAACATTCTCCTGTAACAATTTTTTTCACATCTGAGCAGCTTCTTACCCTCGCTTCCTGATTCAGATTTTTACAAAGAGAGGAGCTATTCCTGCAGTTTCCTTATGAACAGGAAATCCTCTTATCTATATTCCCCCTATTAGAATGGTCAGACGTTGATAATAGTACAAGACAGAACATCAACCATTATTGTAAGGAGAGTTTTCATGCAGCTGTAGAGCAGTAACCAATGTATGCACTGAGCTTGTCCAGCTTGTCTGTTTAACCTGTCACATTCCTCCAGTTGTATAACTTTTAAGACTAATAATTAAATATTCTTCATGAAAGTGATGCAAACTTAAAAAAACAAAAGGGCAAGACGGTGGCTTGATTTTTGTTTTGTGTAAATGAAACATAGATCCTCCCTCTGATCCCAGTCTTAGTGAGGCCACACCTTCTGGCAGAGGAAAGTAAGAAATAATATTGCCAAACCATAGAGAAGGAACAAAATCATCTCAGATCTGACATCGTAAATGAAATAGTTCAACTACTCATGTAGCCTTATCTTATACAAATCTTTTCGCTGAGGAAGCAATCATCTGCAGACTAATCACCCAGGCTGCATAACCCTCTTCATCAGCTCAGGCGACTTAAATGGGGATCCAGGTTTACTGGTGTTTCTGAGGTATTTTTGTTACTCACACCCTCCGATGAGAGGCAAGAAATATGGGGGACAGGTTTTGCACCTGATGTTTTAAAACATCAACAATTTGAAACTAGTTTTTAATCTCTGAGGAGATTATTCATTTCTTGTCTTCAAAAGGCATAACAGTATGATTCAATACAAATCAACGTTTTCCTCTTTGAGCCGATTTCTATTTAAATGAGTTCACTACAGTCCTTTAACAAAAGTGAAAATTGGATATCAAAGTACAATGACATGCAGGTTGTTTTGCATAGTAATGGATTTTATATAAAAGCTTCCTGAAGTAGGGATGCGCCATCTGAGAGCATTTCAGTACACAAGTGATTCAATGGAGTGCCTTGCAATTACATCTTCACTGATTATACCAACTTTTATCTAACTTGCATAAAGTACAAAATAGAATATAATGAATACATATTGTGTATGGTTCTCCTAAAAGAGATAATCACACTCTGTACTAATGGTTTACCTTAGACTTGGAAAAAAACATTCAACTTATTTTGTGGGGTAAACTATAACAGTTGAAGGATTGGTCCTTGTCTGTCAACTTAGAAAATGATTGTAAATAAAAGGTAGATTTTTTTAAAAAGCTGGGGTTTTTTGTTGCTTGTTTGTTTGTTTGTTTTTTAAATTGTTAACCGCAAAATAGTGTTCTGCCCTAGGAAGACATTAATTAGAGTTATTTCTGAATGCCAGCAGGAAACTTCTGGGTTCAGAGAGATACCCCAGCAACAGATCAGCAAATAGGGCAGGCACGGGAACAGGAGGGATCCAGATCTAAATATCTGTATCTAATATTTTGCCTGTGTCAAGTTCATGAACCTCAGCTCCTAATTCCCACCAATGTTTTAGACAGTCTTGATGGACCTCTCTTTATGTGTCCTGTTGGGTCTTTTTGGCTTCACGTAGCTGATTGGAGTTAGGCAAGGGACACAAATCTGAGTGCCCAGACACCCAGGCAGCTGTGGATTTTGAGGCAGAATTTCTTTCACACATTTCACACAAAATGCATAAAAAATTTTCATCAGAGAATGGAGGGGGAAAAAAATAAGAACATTGAGATTTTTCATGCGATAAGGCTTCTGTTTCACCACTGGCTCTCATCAAAATCAGCTTGCTAGTACACAGCTTCTGTACAGAGATATACCATGTGATTTATAAGGAAATAGCCAAGAAAATACCATAGACAGGGGTGAGAACTGAGATTGTTTTCTATATGTACTGTGGTGAAAATACAACCTTATAAATCCCTTATAACTGCTCAGTATGGCTTTAAAGTGCTGTTAGGTGAGATCATTCAGCTAACAAAATGATTGCTGCAATGACAGAAATAAAGATCTTGATTAAATTAAAAAGCAGTGTTGGATTTTGTCATTCCCAAGGTTTGCCTCAAAAGAAAAAAACATTTCAAGCTAGAGAAAAGCTGAACTAGAGGTGCAGCCAGGTTTGCAGAGATGTGAGAGCTTCACACAGTAGTTTAGACTGAAAGGGATCTCTGAACTCTCCGAGTGCAATCCCTCTTCAAAGCAGGGCCAAACTCAAAGTTTGGTCCAGGTCCATGGACCCTTGGCCCAATGAGCTTTGAACACCTCCAAGGATGGAGCTACTACAGTCTCTCAGGGCAACCTGCTATGCTGTCTGGTTGCATCTCTTTTCCTTATATCAAGCAGGAATTTCCCTTGCTGCAACTTGTGACTATTGCCTATTGCCCAGGCAATAGTTCCTGATATAGATCATCTAATAATTCTTAATGTGGATACCACAAGCATCCCCAAGGTCAACAACTTCTAACATAATTCTGTTCAGTTAATTTTTTAGTGCTGTTTTGTTTTTTGTTTCCAGAACATTTAGTAAGAATCTTTTTTTTTTCCTACTACACCATAGAAAACAATTCTTGAAATGATTTTGCATGCTCTGTGAAGAATATTAATTTATCGTGCCAACAGTTCTACCTGAGAGTTAATTTACGTTGCTTCAGGACCCCATTATGTAGCAAAATTCCTGGAAAGCTTCTCTTCTCTCTGTCTGTCTGATTGACTGGTAACTAGGTTCTAACTTAATTCATGTGACAACAAATTGCTTTCACCTACCTGCTTCAGCTTTTTGCTGCTTTTCAATCTTTTCCAGTCTCCCTAGCAAGGAGTCAATTTTTGTTTTGATTTGGGTTAATTCCTTCTTGATTGTTTGCAACTCATCTGATTTCACTGTGAAAAGAGAGTAAAGATGCAAAACATGAAATAAACTATATTTGCAGCCCCCCACGAACAAAAACATGTTCTTTTTTCTTTCCTCTGTAGATCAAAGTCTACTTTCTCATTTCTGTCAGTATTTTTAGAGATTTAACTTTTAAAATGAACATTGTTAGTTAAAAATGCTGAATCCTAGGAAATCACAAGATACAAAACCATAGTGGCAAGGGGTCATGTGAGGCGTATTCTGTAATAAGCATTTAAGGCAAAACATCTCAAGGGCATGCTTAGTAAATCCAAGTAATTTTTACTGAAAAACATCCTATAGTGAAAGAATGATTCAAATATGACAGACAGTTCACAGTCTTGCAATAATATTTTGCTGGATTATTTTGTTATAGTAACAACAATAACAAAAAGATCCCTCACAGTATCAGTAGGTATTTTTCAACAAGAGTGAATGGTAACATAAATACCAGGGAGTCAGGAATGCAATGTTATGTTCCAGTCAACAACTTCATTGCAATAGGTGTTAAGTATTATTGCTTCAAAAGCTTTCAGTTCTGGTAATTTCTTGTACTTTTTCCAGCTATAGATAACATAGGAAAATATTTCTTTTTATGATCACATCCAGGGACACGGAGGCAATGCCCACAAATTAAGAGCTGAAGTTTCCAAATCTTTGTTGCATTGCATTACTCTTCATTTATGTACATTATTGCACTCTTGTTGTCTAATGTAAGGAGTAACTGCTTTGGAGATGTTTTGGCTTCGGAAGAAACAGCACTGCAGCACTCATGAACGATCTCATTATTATGGCATTATCAGGGTGTGTTCTTATGCTCAGAAGATAGTCCAAACAGATCCACTTGCCCCATCTGTGGTAAGATATCATGTTGAAAATGTGAAGAGGAGAAAATGGGGGCCCTGTGCTAGCACAGGAAAATAAAGCCATTTGTAAAGGTCAAGAGTAGATAACAGATGTCACTCTTACAATTCTTGTAGGAAGAAATGGACTATCACCTTAAACTATGAGGCACTGGCAATGGGAAAGCACTGAGCAGTATTACTGTTCCATTCTTACAGCTGCTGAAGCAGGATGTTCATTGACTTTGGGGTGTGTATCCTGAGCAATGGGAGAGCCCTTAGTGAGCCTGGGAAAAGGAACGTTCTGCCATGGAGAAGGACATGTTCCCTTTCTGTCTGAAGGGTCTTCTGGCTGCATCTTGCCTTATCAGTCCTGTTCATTGACTCATGAGCATGTGTCTCATGGGTATTTTTTATTGGACAGTCAAAATCTGATGATGAAGTGTGCAGTCAAGATACTGCCTGCTTCAGTGGTAGTAAACAAGTATGTGTTTACCTCTAAATCAGCGTTATTGGAAACTTGGAGCACATTCACTGAGGGTGAAACCAAGGCTTTTTATCTTAGAGTTTGGGTCATGTGCATTATAGTTATAACAAGTCAGCTAAAGGCAGTAGGTTGCTATATGTGGTAATGAACTTGTTTAATCACATGCTCGTATTGAGAAATTGCATGTCTCAAAATATCATAGGCTGAAACCTCTGATCTCATATTGAATGAACAGTAGGCCTTAGAGAACAAAGCTTAAAAGTAATCTTTGTGCTAGACTCTTATAAGCTATACAGTATTTAATGGATTTTTTCAGTATATTTATAGAGCAAGGCCTTAAAATGTTCTTGGATAAATAACGGGTCACTGTCCAATCCCCTAGATTTGTAACAAAATGTTAAGATTCTGACAACTATATATTTAGAAGGTTACTGCTTCCCCAGGGGCAGTGGTTGGTCTGTGCGAGTAGCAAAGCGGCACAGATTCCAGGGGGAAATGGTGTGAATCTGTCCAGTGGGGAATGCTGAGTGTCTGCAGCAGTCCGCTATGAAGCCAGCTGGCAACAGATCCTGTGTGGCCAAGCTGTTGCGACAGAGGAGGTTCCTTGACTGGCAAACAGCAGGTTTGCCAAGGCTAAAAGGTCAAAAGTCAGAAGAGACACCACAAGGACCTAATGAGATTTGTTCCCAATCTAAAAAGCAAAGCATTTGCATTTCTGAATTTGGTGAGGAAACGGGCACATACATAGGGCTACTGTTCAACTCGGGTCAAACCTTCTGCTTCACAGGGGCTTCCCTGTGGCGTCTCAGTGAGAAATCAGTTTGGGAAGAAGACTGCGTCAGAGGGAACACAGAAATAACAGCAGGGATTCAAAAGCAAGCAAGGATGCTATAAACGACTGAGGAGCTTTATTGCTACTTTGCAAGATTCCCTTATGCCAAAACTGTTTACTCAAACTTTGGTCACTGAATCTTCAATTTATCATTCACATTTAATAAGGTCATTAAATAGGAGATTCCATCATACAGTCAATCACTTCAAGTTAACAGTAAAAAGGACTGAAAAAAAAAGGAGGAAGATTTTCAACAAATCTACACGTTCCAAATTTCCATCCTAGTTCCAGTATTGCGGTGGTGTAGTTATTTGAGTTACTTATTGTCTTAATTTGCAGGGAATTGTACAAATCTTCAGAATCATTATCCTAGAGAAAATCCACTCTCGATTATATTGTACTGGGTATTTCTGTAGTGAGCAGCAATTACTAAAGACAAAGTATGAAGGGTCCTGATGAACAACAAGCTGAATATGAGCCAGCAATGCACCCTTGTGATAAAGAAGGCCATCAACATCCTGGGCTGCATTAGGTGGAGTGTTGCCAGCAGGTTGAGGGAGATGATCCTTCCCCTCTACTCAGCACTGGTGAGGCCACATCTGGAGTACTGTGTCCAGTTCTGGGCTCACTGGTACAAGAGGGAATGAAGACGACAAAGTCAGACTCTTCTCAGTAGTGCCCACTAATATGTCAAAGACCGTTGGCATGAATTAAAGCACAAGAAATTCCACCTAAACACAAGAAAAAGCTTTTTTTTTTTTTTTTCCCTCCTGTGAGAGTGGTCAAACACTTACACAGGCAGCCCAGAGAGGCTGTGGAGTCTCCATCCTTGGAGATATTCAAAAGCCATATGGACACAGTCCTGGAAACCTGCTGTAGGTGACCCTGCCTGAGCAGGGCAGTTGAACCAGATGAGCTCCAGTGATTTTGTGATTCTATAGTATAGAGCTTGGGAAAAACTTTAGGCTTTTTAAGCACAGTGTTATGACAAAGATAAAATGTAAAGACTGTAAATACTGTACTTCAGGTGTCCTGCTTTGGGTATATAAATTCTCCTTTAAAATTTCATGGATTTTTTTTTTTTTTTAAATTGATCTCAGGCAAGAAATAAAGCAGTTGATAAACATGAAACCAGAGCTGCATGTGTCCAAAATATCTGTTCATCTGCTTTTGAGTAATAGAATAGGAAAATAAAGTAGCTTACTGCTTTTTTTTTTTTTTTTCCTATTAACAGATAAGCAAAAGCCAGCAGGTGACAGAAATCCATGTATTGAAAGGAAAAGAAATTATTAATGAAATTCCTCAAACACTGGCACCAAAATGGCTAAATATTGTCAACAACTTTGATACAAAAATGTAAACAAACAGGTGAAATTTGCTGATGACATGAAATTGGAAGGTATCATCTATTCAGAGTGAACTGGAATGGAAAGAGGAGTCAGGTGATTTTAAGGAATGCTACATTATAAAAAAGATGAAATGGAATTGCACTGAAAAAAATTCCTGTGCTTGATTGACTAACAGCAGAACTCCTACTCTTAACGTGGAAGCTCATCAGCTGAAAAAGTCAGGAACAGAATTATCCTTGGTTCTAGTTGTAGTCTCAGGTTGACAATAGGATATCACTATAATGCAGCCATGAGAAAGAAAATGCAGTTCTAGGATCTGTCAAATGATGTATTGCTAAAGATGGGGAAGTACAATGAAGTACAAATTGATTCATCTACAAAACATGATTCAGATTCCTTTGGAAAGAAATGTCATGTATTTTTATCTAAGCCCTTCATGTTTAATGTAAAATATTTTATCATATTGTATTACTTTAGATTTCACTGAAAAATGGGTTAGCTGATGAAGCTAAATATAAACTATACAAGTCAAAATTAATTTAAAGGCATAATTCAGTACATATTGTAACATCTTAAGTGTCTAGTCCTCAATCTCAAGCACACGGCATAAAAAATTTGATTAGTGTTTTCCTCCTGTTTTCAGATGTGTAAAATGAAAATACATATTCCAAGAACTTCAATTTCTATATTGTCAGAAAAAGTGAGTTTTTCCCAGTTCTAAACAGTAATCTGCATCTGCTGCTTCCTACCATTAACATGAAAAGCCACTATGTGTAGTTTCCACACCAACATGTTTCATTTTGTGAGTTACTTCTGATAATATGGAAAGGTTGATTTACTATTTTCTCGTCTTTGGAGTTAAAAAGAAAACAAAATATTGTCAACTGATCCTTGAAAAATTATAGATTCCGAAAAGAAATCAAAGCCTCCTAGCTTATTTTGTGTTTTGGAAGCAAACAGAACACATATTACTACTTTTTAGTAGAACAAGAATTTACTGCACTGGATGGCAGACATCATTTTTGCAGACGTACTCATCAGTGAGCAAGGCATTTTTGATATTATGTTTTTATAACATCTTTGCTGTGTGCCACAACAAACATCAGGGATTGCTGGTTTTCAGAAGTGAGTTCCTCTAATCCTGATAATTTCACTGAGGGGTCCCCTGTGTTCTGACCTTTAATACAACATGTATGGGTTCATTTTCTGGATTCAATATGAGTGTGGAGAACAGCTATAAGAACAGTTATGCCTATGAGGTTTCTACATAAATCTGAAAAGTCTGTTCAGGGATGTGATCTCATGAGAGTTTTGTTATTTGGGGGTGAACTCGTTCAAGCATAGCCAATGCCATTTTGACATAGTTAATTCTGAACCTGCGATTAAGCTGTTTTATGGTCTTCAATTTCATTAAAACCCAAAATATGTTCCTTCCCACAAAATATGTTTCTCATTATTGAAGAGATCCTTTGTTTAACTAGTAATAAATTACAATTAGAATCACCAGGGCATTGGTTCAAGGGGTTCAGATTAGCAGTGTAGAGTAAGGGACAACAAAATATTAAATTGCTTCATCTCACAATTCTATATAACCAACTTTTCCAATAAAATGGCAAAAGAAGCCACAAAACACACATTCTCCAGTTTCCAACTTGAAGCCCCTAAGGGAATGGCTTGGTTATTTCTCTGATAAATGTCTTACAATAAGCTGATTACATTCCTGTCCAAGTCAACAAAATCATGTTTCTACCTTTATGATGGGTTGGTTGGACTTGACAAAAAGGGTAGTAATTCTATGGGGAAATCAAGCATGAAAGTCTTTATACGGTGTGTCTGACTCCTTTTAAAGATGTGCTGCATGCAGAAAGAATATTTTTTGCAATTTATTCCAGCATGATAAATGGTCTCTGCAGTTGTGTTCCAACTGCCATTGTAAAGAACTGACAGTGGAAACGCAACAGGGGTCAAAATGTCAGCCCACGTTTTTAGTGATGCATCTTGCAGCTCTCCCTTCAGTGTTAAAGAGCTGGATCCAAAGATGATCTTGTTACCTGGAGCTCTAAGACTGACATTTTTAGAATTCACATCACACCTGAATACATTGAAGGATACTTTCACCGGGGCATAACACTGTCTGTTAGGATCTCTACACTCCTGATTGCATTTCCATTAAATAATTTACAGGTTCTGCAACATTTGCCATGTTATGCAAGCAGTGTTTTGGAGGTCTTCTAGCAAGTGGCTATGGGTACTCAGTCTAGGGTCGAACCTTATAATCTGTTATGCATTACTGAAGTCCTGACATGATACTATGAAACATTTCCTGAAATGCAGAATAAATAATAAAGCAAATTTGGTGATTATTCTGAGGAACAGATATCTACATGTTAATGTAATATGCTCTGTCCCATTCACTACAATGAAAATCCAGATTTCTGGGTGAGAGATATCCTTGACATCTATTGGGATATACTACGGTCCTCAGTTCTCTAGAAGAATTTTAGAGTTGTTCTTCTTCTGGACAACAAGAAATATATATATATAAACTTATCTGAAAATAATTTGTCTTCTCAAGGTAAAGCGAGTCCAAAAAGCCCATTCTTATTAGACCACACTTTAGGACAATTAGTGAATTGAACGCACTGATACTGCTAACTTTTCATAGGGATAAGACAACAGTAAAGGATGAACAAAGGAGATCTAATGAATGAATCTGTAAGTGTATATACTTACTAAAGCTTTGATTCACTGTGTGAAAACCCAAAGACTCAAGGGCTGGAAAAGACTAACAAAATAATTTAAATTAAAGTCTACTAAAGTGAAGATCTTGAGCTGTATGCTTTCTTTTAAATTAATATAAGGAATCATAACTCATTACTTAAAGTATTGAGGAAATAAAAAAAGTAGCTACGGACAAGTGGATTAGTTCAAGATATGTATGAAAATGTCTAGACTCATGTTCATCCTCCAGAGAACAAAGGAAGTGTTGCTACTTCCAGACATCCTCTTAGGGTGTGAGTGTGCTCCATAATATTACACTTAAATTTACATGTCTTCCTGTGTGGTAGGCATCAAAGCTCCCATTATTGGTAATGGGCATCTAGCCAATTCATTCACTGCAGAATTGTTTGTGATTCAACTGTACAGCCAACAGAGACTCCCTTTCTCAGAATGTCATCCTTTCCAAGGAATGGCCCAAGCTCCTTGTTCCTCAGTGTAAAATATTATCTTTTGCTCTATCACATTTCCATTCTTTCAGTCACATGCATATTTATTACATGTTTTCTTTCAAGGTCTTCGATACCATTGGTTCATACAGTACGATTAAGAATAGATCCTAGTGTGCTCACTAGAGGTCCATCTTCTTTGTTAGATGCTAGCGTGTGAGATTTGAATAGGTTATTCAAGCTGAGTATATAATTGGCTCAAGTTGATGACATAATTAACCCCTCTTCCAGTAAGGTGTAGTGTTGGTGGATTCACTTATTTCATGGTTGTGTGTAAAAGCATGATGCATTGTCGGCCAGTCTGGTACTTCAAGTGTCTTATTGAAGTCCCTTCATTCTTTCTAATATCTGATCCCTACCTGATCTTTCTCTTCCTCTTCCAGTGACGCTTCCAAGGACAGTATCACTCCACATAAGGGGCAGGGGAAGACAGGTGGGTGCTGAAAGATGCACGGAGAGGAAGATGAAGTTCCCAGGACAATACTACGGGGTGGGGAGCTTGGTGAGCTTGGAGGAGGGAATGCCTATTGTTCATCAGCTCTTCTAAGGCCAACTCACTAAGGAAAGGTTGAATAATCCCAAGTTGCCAATACCATTTTGCCCTGTGTTTAGAACAGGCAAAGACACTTTGCCTCTTTCTACCCTCAGAGGAATCTGGCAAAAAAAGCACACATAGCAAAACCTCCCCTCGCCCCCCACTTGCTCACATACAATCCTCAAGTCTCAACAGAAATCAATGTGCCTCTGTCTATAACAAGATTATTAGCTTTGCTTTATTATCAGCTCTTCACAAGACCTCATGGTGCATAAGCAGTCAGGATGATAGGAGATTTTAAACAGACTTCTTCTGAGGCCAAGGGAGTGATCTGTAGGTCAAATGCTGTGGGAGGGATTTCCTTCAAAAGTTACATCATTTTGCTCTTTGACTTGCAGGAAAGGCATGACAGCTTTGGTAATCAAACCAGTTTTTCAAGCTAAAGGCTAAGGGTAGGAAATGACTACAACAGAGCTATATAGTGGAAGCTGTCTGCTTGCAGCAATTACTAGGATCATTGTTTCAGTAATATCCAACTGATATGAGCAACTCACATTTGGATCCTGAGGAAGAAGCCCCACTTGAGGTGGATCGTGATGCTCCTTTCATGGAGAAAACCCCTTTGCCTCTGCGAGTTGTTGTCACAGCCACACGAGGACGCTTCAGTGGAATCACTGCACGGGGTGGTGGGGGTACACGGCCATGGTAATCAAACAACCTAGAAAAGATTAAGTCAGTTGGACCCCATAAAACCTTCTGTGATTTCATGTCATGGAAGCCCTGTCAACTAAATTTTCATGTTATCTTTGAGAAAATTACCCTCTGAAACCGTAATCACTTTATGTCACAGTCAAATTAGATTTCAAGGACCTATGCACATTAAGTGCCATATTCAGATTTCAGTCACAGACAAGTGCATAGCTCAGATTTTTTTGCATAATTTAAATGAGGGATGCATTATGGGACTCTGTTATTTGCAGTATGGAAAATCCATAACCTGCTTTCCACAGGTCCACACCATTTCATTGCACACAACTAACAGCAGTACATTTTGTTGTGGTGACATTTCAGCTCCTTTATTACATGCATGGCTTAAATTCTAGTTTTCTATCTGCTATCCGTATAGATAGAAAAAGAAATTCACTTTTCTGAAGCCAACCATCACCATAAAGAAATATCCTGCAGTTTGTAAAATAGCAAGAGTCTTTATAGTGAGGGACACGTATGTCCTTCTGAATGCACAGAAAAGAGCATATGTTATCTTTATTGAAGAATTAATTGATGTAGAATTACTAAAATAACCAAGCATGCTTAATAAAAAAAAGTCTTGTTCAAACCAAAACCACTGTAGCACGTAGATATTCAGAAAATTACCACTACAGTCAATAAAAGATACTCTACAACCAAAGAGGAACTAGTGTTTCCAAACAGAATACCCCAATCCTAAAAACACAGTTATCAACAGCTGCTAACTAACCTGTGTAGAAGAAAATAAAGGCAGTACAAAAGGTAATCAAAGCTAGAGATATATTTAGAACATAAAAGCTATGGGCTCTGAATATGACAGGTCAGGAGAAGAAATTTCAGAAAATTGAGATTTCCAGTTCAGAGACTGAAGTAAAGGGACAAACAACATTCTCACAAAATATTCTCGAGTTTCTTTCAAATGGTACTTGCAACTAGTAATTATGGAAATTTATAACTGCATGTTTAATTTTCACAGTTCTGACTACTCTCACCCAGCTGGGCAGATAGATACACATTTGAAAACAGACACACAAGAAACAGTAATTCACTCACCACAGTGCCTAACAGCATACTGAACAGGAAACAGGAAGTCTTCTAGACCATTTTCTGGCAAATAAACACCTAATGCTTAAATCCCAGGATCCTTAATGTTGTCTGTACCATAATCTTACAGACAATATAACCACCTCCTTCCTTTTCCATAGCTGCCTACAAAATGTGTCACAGAGATCCTGTCACCCCCACTGAACTTGAACTCCATGACCTTGGATATTCTTACTGAATAAGCAGTTTCTAGCCATTGTGAGCATAACTAAACAATTGTGTATGAAGATGAACACTAAAATATTTTTGGAACTTTTAATAGAAATATTATTGTTTGTTGTCACTCAACATTTATCATATTGGATGATCTGCTGATTGGTCACAGTCTCCCATTTGACATTACTGGAACAAAATGTTTCAGAAGAACTGTAAACTATCATGCAGAAGATCATTATGCAATTATTCCTCCAAAGGTGATTTTTTTCTAGCTTCCAAGATAGATAGATAATGTAGTGAAATGCAAATCTATTTCCTTTTCTGAAATATATAAAAGGACTGTTATCTAATATTCCTATTCTTATTTTTATTTTTTAAATTATGCAAAGCTTTTGGGCTTGGTATTTTGTTGTACCAAGTTCTACATGTTTCAATGATATGCTTTCTTTAAAAAAATACTTTCTTTTATCAGTTTTTAAGTACCCTGCTTGTTTTCCTTGTGCTTGCAATATAAGAAATGATAAGCAGAAATGCTCAGTTCTAAATCATTTCTTTGTCCCAATATCACTAATATGCATATAACAGTACCTTTTCTTTCAGTCACTCTTCTAAATTGTGCAGCCCTGATCTTGTCAATCTGTCTTCATACAGATTTTATTTTACAGCACTAACCATTATTGTCACCCTTTTCTGACCCCACTAATGCTTTAGTCAAGATAAGATAAGCGTATTCTCCCTTCAGGACAGTTGGAAAATTAATGAAGATCAGAAAACAAGACCTATGGTTTGGGATATAGCACAGAAATTCAGAAGTTCAGAAGTTTAGGAATTCAAGAATCATGACTATATTTCTTAATTTATATTTCCTATAAGCATGTTGATAGTGCATCGAACTTTCCATGGGATTTTCTTTTCCATGCCTACCATATAGAGCTTTTCATCTTCCACTTCCATTAACTTGGATCTTACAGAGACTCTTAACCTCCTAAGCTTTTTATGTCAACAGATCAACATGTCCAGCCTTGTAAGGCCAACCTCATATATGAGTTTTTGACCATAAAACTTCTGCTGTCTTAATCCTGAAAGATTTTGAAATCAGAAAATTATACTATTGAATAGGTTATGGACACATTTCACTGTCAGTGGTTTTCTGTAAGACAATCACCAAGATAGACATGAGTTTCCACAGAAACAGTCTTCAAAGCCCCATAAGTATTTCTTTTGTTGTGGAAATGTAACCATTATAGTTGTTAATTTGGGCTATCCATAATGCACAGAATTAGGGAAAAAACTAAAGACACATAACTTCAATATTCAGGTGGCACAGATCAGAAACAGTACTCTGTTTAAAAACATACAAATCCACTGATGAAATTCAGAGCAGTAACCTTGGGGAAAGTAAAAAAAAGCCTGTGGAAATTAACTTTTTACAGGATACGAGCTGCTCCTACTGTCAAGGCTGGACTAAGCAGGATTAAATGGCATTGATGGGTTTTACTCCATATTTACTCCGTAGCTCACTATTTTTAGCTCTGTGGAGAGAGCTAAAGTGACAAGTGAGCATGCTCATTTACATGCAAAAACAAAATTAGTGGCTTGAATTGAATGAAGCCCAGGAGAAAAACAAAACCAAAAAATGTTGTTTCTAAATTTTCCCTCCAGTGTTCCTAAGGAGAAAGGTACATAGTGCACAGTAACTTAACTTCGAGGTGTAAACTGCTCCCCTGCTATTGTCCATTGTTTTACATTAATGTAATCTCAGATTAGAAGAGGTTGGTGGAGCAATATTATGTTCCCCTCTGACTCACTTGGCCTATGCTAAACCAGGCTGCTGTAATGCAGATGCACAACACTGCTGCATCAAGGGTTGGTTATTCATGGTCATCCATGTTAACCCTGTGTTGTGGTGTTTCTGCTACATCTGAATGAATAAATTCCCAGAGTGCTGAGCTAGGCTGTACTCAAGGCACAAGTCTCCAATTGCTCAGATATCCACACTTCTTTTCCTCCTATAGAAACACACATGCTCTTCAACTTGTGGTCTTGCTTCCCTCAAGGTCCTTCTAGACTTCTAAACGTTCGTGGAAGACACATTTTTCAGGAGACTTTCTACATCTTTTCATACACATGGATGAAAAGACAAAGACACGAGTGTCATACTGAAGAATTTTACAGCTGCTGTATGTTCCAGTGACAGTAAACCTGGAAGAACTCTGTAAGAGGAAACACTGAGCAATTAAACTACAATTGAACTGTTCAGCACAGAAAATGCCCCAAATCTCTCAGAGAAGGATAAGACCAAAAGAGCGGT